TTTGCAAATAAATTTTGCTTTTGCTCTCTGGATACTCTATTGTACAATAATTTCTTTGCTCTATTTTGGTCTAGTTTTTTTTTCATCACTATCATGTTGAGTATTATTGTCTTAAATACTAGTAAGTGAAACGATTCAGATTTGAAAATTTTTTTGGATGTAAAATTTTCAGATTAGGGATGTTTAACCTAAATCAAAATTGGGACTTGTTCATTCACACAAGCCAAGTTCCTATAATAATATTCATAAATCCCATTGGAAAATAAATAATTTTAAAATACATATGACTAAGTCAAGAAAATATTATAACCATGACAATGGGATAATTTCCATTATATGCAAAGAGTATCTGCAAATCAAAAAGAAAAGTGTGAGAAGCCCTTTGGGAAAATAGATAAAATATACCAACAAGATCTTCACAAGAAACAAAATACAAATGCTCAGCTTCATTTGACAATGAAATTTTTAACCTATCAAATTGACAAAAACCAAAGGTTGAAAATATCTAGTGTCGGTATATATGGAAATATGTGCCCAATTTTGGTAAATATAGACAACGACATGTGAAAGATAGTTTTGCCACCTCTGTCAAATTTTAAATGTGTATGCCGTTGAGTCCTGTAATTTTACCTCTAGGAATTTATTCTGTGTATATATGCAATATTATATTTTAGTAACAAATGGAAATAACCCAATGATTCATCAATAGCAAATAGTTCAAGTTATATGTAGATGTATAGTGAAATATTCTAAAAGTATTATGAATAATGCAAAAGCTTTGAACTCATAGAAATTTAAGAGCATATGTTTTTCTTTTCTTAAAAGTCTACTGTACAGGGCTGGGGTTGTGGCTCAGTGGTAGAGTGCTTGCCTAGCATGTGTGAGGCCCTGGGTTTGATCCTCAGCACCACGTACAAATAAATGAAATAAAGGAATTGTGTCCATTTACAACTAAAATTATACATATATATATATATATATATATATATATATATATATATATATACACATAATATATATATATATATACATATATATATATGTATAAAGTCTATTGTATAACAACTATATTAAACAAACGTATAATCACATTTATATGCTTGAACAAGTCATATTTATAGTGAGATTTAGGTTGTGGAGGGGAAGGCAAGAAGTGATACTCTTTATATCTTCAAAAACTTCTTGATGTTGACTTTTACATTGAAAAGGTATTACTTTTGTAAAAGAACAAACCTTTGGAAGTAGTCAGGCTGTCTTGTGTGGGAGTTTGGGGTCTTCCTCTCACAAGTATATGTGTATCTTTTTTTTAAAAAAAAAATAATTTTAATATACATATTTATACAAAATGATTCTATAAGCCACATATGTAGTAAAGTAGTACTATAGTGGGGCAAATTAACATCCCATAATGTTATGCAGTTACCCATTTTCCCTCTATGACAAGAATAGCCATAATCTACTCATTTAGCAAAAATCCTGAATTCAGTACACCATTATTAGCTATGGTCCTCAAATTGTATGTTGTACATTAGATCTTGCAACTTGTTCATCTTCCGAAGACGTCCCAGTTTTCTTTCCCCACCCACTCCCAGGGGTGGCCCCTATCATTCTTGACCTGTAGGTAAGGAACCTGTCCAGCTGTGTTCAACAAAGTTTCACCAAACTTCTGGCAATTCTTTACTCCTAATAAAAATTCAAGTCAGGAAATCTAAGAGTAGAGAGGTTGGGTAAGGACATAGAACAATTTTCTCAAATAATTGTAAAGAATAGGTGTACAAATTATTGAGACCAAGGTAACAGATTTTGTGTTAGATTTGATAATGGCTGATACTGAGACCTTTTTGAAGCTGGTGAATGACAAGACAGCCTAAATTTATTCACCATCCTTATCTACTACAAGTGGACCTAAAATTCCCTGTTTATGTCCCTACCATGAGAACAATCTAGTGCAGCTCAAACTGTTCATTTTCCCTTGGTCAAGTTCCTAGGCACCCCCAAGACCAGCTCCTTCTCCCCAATATGGTGCAGCCCACTCAACAGCTATTTCACATTGAACATTGTCCATATGCTCACTGTGAAAAAGTAGCTTCAGGACACTCTTTACTTCACTATATTTTTAAGGCCTTATCTTTGCAGGCAAAATACATGTCAATTTCTTAACTTTTTCAAAATGTGGTCAAAACAAGAACTTGAAATCTCAAATACTGATTGCTCTCTGTTATATTTCCCCTTGACAATACTTTAGGGCTCTTTCTTTAGAAGTATTTACTTGTGGGCCTATAATATACAAGGGGTTACAAGATAAATAAGACATAGCTGTGTACTTGAAGAACTTAGTTTTACAAATAAGTTACTAACAACTGGCAATTTATGAGTGCTACCCTAAATAATTTACAAACAATGCCTGATTTAATCCTAACACTGAACCTGAAGCAGGTACTACTATTTTTCCCATATACCAATTTAAGAGAGAGAGAGAGAGAGAGAGAGAGAGAGAGAGAGAGAGAGAGAGACAGACACACCAAGTAATAGGTCCAAGGTCAGAGTTTAGTAAGTGGCAAACCCAAGGAGTCTATGTCTAAGCCAATGCTAGGACTGCTCTGCTCTACAGCCTCTCTTATGAAAAGATATGCATTATAGACCAGCAAGTGTTTAAAGTCTTTTAGTCATATAAAGTACAATGGTAATTCAAACATTTCTGGGTTGAAAATTCATGGGAGTGCCTTGTCAGAGGAATTTCAAGTAAGATTTGACAGGCAGAATGGGGGCGATGGATTGCCAGCCACATGGGTGGAAGCTTCCAACTACCATAAATTTAGTCTAATGCATATAATCTAAACTTATTTTACTTTTGTTAATTTTTTTAATCTTCTGTCAGCATAAACAAAATTTCAGCTACAGGCATGAATAAAGAGGAAACATGAACTAGAGTTCTCTTTCAGGAAATAGAATCATCAAAATCATAAGGGAAAGATATACATATTTCATTTTTTCCTTTTGCTTATGCTGACAGATTTCTTTAAGGGAGATGTTAAAGCAGAATACAGAATCAAAACAACAGAAAGTGTGTATTTATAATTTTCTTTTCATCTAGTTTGTTGCTTTTATTTTGTAAATAGGAAAGTCACTTGGAAAAGGTCAAGTCTCCTGCCTCAACTCATTCAATGAATTAACTTGAACCTGAACTGTAAACTCCTAGTCTGCTAGTGCCACCTTAGTTTTGGGTGGCACTTTCTTACTCTTTGGTATAACTCCTTAAGAATTCAGATTCTCCAGCAACCAACGGAAGTAGGATATGTGGGGCATCAACCTTATTTCAATGAAAAATTCTTAGCACATTTCCCATTTTCTCTACTGTGTCTTGAAGGGCAATTAATGAAATATCAAGACAACCATGGACATAATCAATACATACTTCTGATCTAGACATTTCCATTTTTAACTTTGCCACTAATATTATCCTAGATGATCTTCACTAAAATGTCATTTAAACTTCTGTTCATTAGGATTTGATAACTGGGGGTAAAATAAACTGAAAATACCAGTGTGCTGTTCACTCTGCAGGAAGGATGTTGCTAAACCATTTTTTTGTTTGTTTGCTCAGTTCCATTAACAAATGCTTGTGCTATATTTCCAGGAAGGTTTGTGTGGTTGCTGTCTATCTGAAGCTTTGCTTATAGTATTTAGCAAGTGGTCTAATTGCCATACACAGTTGTAGAGCAGCCTGGGGGATGAGTTTGCAAGCTGAATATGTTCTTAGAAACAGGCTGAATATGTTCTTAGAAACAGGAACTTTCTGGACAATGTACAATAGTTACTCTTGGTTTGTTATTTTATGAAGTCTGGGGAATCCAAAGGAACCAACCTTTACATCCTGTACTTTGAGGGATATTACTTTGTGCTTTTCCCAATAAGGACATTAATACTAGAGGTCAACTCTGCCAGGTTGTGGGCACTGAGGAATGGCCAAGAATTGGATACCATGCCTCTCACCAACCAGCTACCTACCACCCAACTCCTACCTCTCAACAACTGCTACTGGTTGAGGCTGCTCTTGAAGTCTACCATGATCCTAGTAAGCTAGGGTCAAGAGACCTAACTTGAGGATCTGGAGTCCTCCCTAGATGCTATTTCTAGGGAGGGAACAAAAAGACAGCATAAAAAGCATTGCTTTTGCCCATGGGATTCTCCTCCAAGGCCTAGATTTGAAATGAGATGCTATCTAAGCCATCTAATCTGAAGCATGCTTGTTTAGAAAGCTGGCAACTCCAGAAACATGATGTTGTCATTGCCTTTCTCTCTCAGTGTGGTGTAGAGGAACCAACTTGGTAGGAAACCTATGTACCTGAAATGGCTGTGATGACTTTATATATAGCAATGTAGATATGACTATATCTATATCTTGGCTAATGAAAGAAGAGAGTGGCATGTAGAGAACCAGTCAAGTAAAGACATTATTCATGTTGAATGACACATTGACATTTGTTTCAATTCATCTTTAAAAAGAAAAACATTAGATTAGCCTCTGAAAGGGTAGTTTTTTAGGTCATATGTAGCTAATAGCTTGAGAATGGAACACTTATTTCTCCAGAGATCAGAAAAATTATTTTTAAAGGAGGTAAGGGATGAATCTAGATCTTGTGTCTGGGAAGGCACAGAACTGGAAGATGCATAATTATCATTATAATTAATTAAACAGCAACCAACATTTCTTAAGGATTTACTAAGTGCCAGACATTGCATTTTAACCCCTCACTACCCTTAAGCTGAAACAGAATTATAAAGGATATTTCCTCCAGTAAAGGGAAGGTTAATTTTAAAAATCTGTTTAATCATGACTTTAAGAAATGCTGTGTGATTCTTTGCATAGGTCTGAATGCGCATTGTGAGTTGCAGTCACACTTATAAAATGTATACAAATTGGGTAAGCCATCTGCTTTAAAAAAATGTGTATCCAACCAGTGGGTTGTAGAAATTTCAAAGATTTTATTTTTTGACAGGATGCCTGCCGTTTTTCTCTCTTGACTCCCGCTTGTTTTATTCATTTTGGGGTAGTTGCCAATTAGACCCCATTGGTAAGTATAATTAATAGACAACTTGAATTTCCTCTTAAACCCCAGCCAAGAAAGTTAACCATAGAAGCCTTCATTTCCTTTAAAAATTCCTAACATTATCACTTCCTGTGACTGCCATTTATCTCTATCTCCTAAAGTCATCCAACCATATCAGAGACTAGTGACTCCTCATGATTTGTCATTCCAAAGCTGCCACATAGGAGAGCTTGGCAGCACTGCTAGGATATTACCAGAGGAAGGAAGCATTTACTTATGATCCAGGCTTTCTGCAAGGCACTTTTATATATGCTGTCTCTTTTAAAACATTCAAAAACCTTTCAAGTAGGAACTGTCTTCCTTTCTTAGAGTTGACAAGATGGCAGCTCAAAGAGATTATGTCCTTGTCTTAAATCCATTTAGTGAGGCAAATAGATGTAAACCAACACTGGTGTGAATCCAAAACCCTCGTTTCTTCCATCCACATAGGAAAACATTATCTCATTCAAGAAGATCCCCTTAAATTTTGTTAGCTTAGAGTACCTAATGGTCATCATTTCATTCAGTAATCAGTTGAGCAGCTCTGTGCCAGACATGGGTCAAGCATTGGTTTGGTCACAAGGAGCCATCAAGCAGGACTTTGGGAAGAAGATGGAGTAGAACAATAGGAGGACAAAGTGGGTGAGGTGATGGGTTGGGGTGCAGGCAGTTGGAGCTCCTGATCGTGTCCTCATGGCTACAGTCTTTCTTCATGTGACTCGTGGACTTCCCTTTGTCATCCTATGCCTGAGAATATATGAAGGAGGCTGGGAAGGCAAAGGGACGTTCAATTGTCATCACTGGCATCTTTTTTGATCATTGCACCATCATCCAATGCATTGGGATAACCATGACATGATATTTTCCATCACTGAGCCCATAACTGTCCCATGAGAGGGATAACAACTCTATGTTAAATTCATGATAGAATTTTATCCAGGGATCTTGGGAAGTGGGAACAAGTGACAGACTAACTGCAAAACTTCAAACCATGTGACCTGAACAGAAAATTAATATTTCTCTGAGCAGGCTATGTGTCTATCGACATCTTACTGTCTTCTGTGGATGCTCTCATCTGTTCAGCCCAATCATGCAGACTTTCTACTGCCTCGACCAATCAAGACCAAATATCAAATTGCAGATACCAATTCATGATCATTTTGCACAAGACTGTGAAGACTTGCCATTTTTCAGATGCTCTCAACTGACAATGTTGTTCAATATTTTCTCTGCCGTTTAGAAGGTTGACCCTCTAGACAATAATTTGATGAAGAAAACAATCTAAACCTTGCCTTGTCTTCATTTAATGGAATGACTTGACTCAAGTCAGCTGTGTATCTTGCAATGCTCATTAATGAGAAGCCACTTTATCAAGATAATGAAGTCAAAATCACTCTGAGGAACAGAACAATTTTTAATAAAAACAGTTTCATGGAGTCTGCCTATCTTGTTCATCTGACTCTCTTCCTATGCAATCTGGGCATTCTCTCTTTTTCAGCAAAAATTTTTCCACATCGGAATTATTCAGGGACTGAGACAATTCTTATAAACAAATAAGTCTGAACAGGGGAAATTCTCTACCATTCTCATCCGATGTTGTAGACACTTTTACCTGCAGGGAAGAACTTTGAGATCTCTTTGCAGACAGAATGATTTAGGTTGCAAATGTTTAACTGGCATTTTTAATCTCAAGGTCAGAAAAATTACTGTTGTTCATCAGATTTGGAGACCTTCCTGAAGGGATACAATCTCATCCTTGTTTCATTGCTAACTGAAAATCCTTCCATATTTTTCATTATTTTCTAGCTTCTTATTCACCATAATATCATGTGGACCTTCTGTCCCACCCATTCCAAAATACTTGCAATTTTTCTTAAATAACTCAACCCATTATATGTCTTTCTATTCCTTTTTGATATTTGCTAAAATTTGATCCTCTCCCATTCCTACCTGTCTACACTCCTGAGTCTCAGATAAAAAATCTCTTCTTTGCCCATCCCAATCCCTCACTTCCTCTGATTTTAACAGACCCACATTCACCCCTTCTGCTGTGCTCCTATGTCACTCTGTCATGGCATTGCTTCTTTCGGTAAGAAGAGTGTCTTCCCATCTTCTTGCTCTGTCCCCCATCACATGTAGATTGTGGATTCCTAGAGAGCAGGGCATGTCTCTTGTCTATTTTTATCATCCCCAAAACTTAGTACAGTGTCTGGCACATCCCGGCAGGTGCTCAATAAATGACTGCTGTAAATATTAACACCTGGTTTACCTAGCCCAATTTTTAGTTCTGGTTTCTAATTTGATACCAAAAAAATGTAATAGAGGCGTTTAATATTAAAATCTAGAAAAGAAGGACAAAATGACAGCAACATAAACCCACGGAGGAAAAATAAATAGGAATATGTACAGGCAAAGACCATTGTGCCTACTTCTGTTTATTAGGCATGAAAGCATTTAGTCTGGGAAATTTTAACTGTGTTCCTATGAAATCATGATTGTTGATAAATCATTTCCATCTTATGAGAGTCTAAGAATATTTTTTTTTGTAGTATCCAATGCCATCATGGCTTCAGGTATTTCCACCTAAATGGAATAAGATAACTATTGACTTTTCCCCACTTATTCAAAGTGATCATTGCCGGTGGCTGCTTTTCAATCTAGATTTTGATCAATCTATTGGGTAGAAATGCATACTCACTTTAGAAAGTTAGAAAAACATAAAATAAATGGGAAAACTTGTACTGAGTACTTTTCTGCCATAATGAACAATTTTACAGTGAGATATATTTAGAAAATATATGGTATCTCATTCCCTGGGGATCTAGAAGAAAAGTGGGCTGAGATTTTTAATTTGCTTAAGAATGGCTAAGGCCAAGGAATTTATATAGGACCTTCAAAGTCCCTTCCCAAGGATTTTATAATAATTTGTTGATCCCTTCAAAGTGTCTGGAGCATTTCAAGCCCTTGAAACTCATGGATGTAAAAGTGAATGTAATTCAAATAGACTTGAGGAATGATGAGAAATAATGTTCCTGCTTGTCACTAATCAAGCTGCCATTATTTTATTCTTTTAACCTTGAACCTCAGCTCAATATCTTTGAGCCCTGAGGGGGAAAACTGACAAAAAGAAAATAGGAAGTTTATGCCCTAATAATGGCCAAATTTTTAGTTTAGTTTAGAAACCAGAACATTATGAATCTTATGCCACCCATAGCTACAACAAATAAGGAGCCCTTCCCCTCACTGAACAAGCTGTCCCTGTTCTGCACTTGAGGCCAGATTTCAAAAGCTATGCCGAGTTCTGCATGCCACAACCCAGCAGGCAAGGCAAACACTCAAGTCCTAAAGCACAGGCTGAGGAATCAGGGACTCTAATAAGCCTTGGCACCTCTGGATCCGCATGGGGTTCTGTGGGTATTCTCTGCTGGAAGGAGGGAGAGGGAAAGAAATGGGTGTGTGCCTCTGCCAACGCAGGGAGGCGAGGACTGGAGTCAGCTCCTCCGGTCATCAACCAAATTGGAGCTGAACCCACCCTCATTAGCAGCATTTCTCCTACCCAGAACAACACAGGGGGCACATATTGATTCCACTGCACATTAGGATTTATTATGATTCATTATGAATCCTGGTGGAGACTGGGAAGCAAGCAGCAAATTGAACATGGCAAACCCACATGAAGAGTTTAGGGAGGAGGAGAAAGTTCACCCTTGTGTTTCTAATCTCAGGTTCTATTTACTTGGCATACATGCATGGAGCAAGATTTGTTTTGTTCTATTCATGTATTTGTTCTCATTAATCAAGAACTGATGTATCAAGTATAAATTATTCCTCCTAAACTTAGGTATGTAGGAAATGTCACACAATAAAAATTTTCCTTAATTCAAATACATCTAACTCCAGGACCCTTTCCATCCAGGTTTCGGTAAATTCAATCTAATCTTTATTAGGATTCTCCCCCTATTCCCTCCATGTTAATCCATTTTCCATCACTACAACAAATACCTGGGATGATCAATTTATAAGAAGAAAAATTTTATTTAGCTCATAGCTTTAGAGGTTCTATGATTGGGGTCTATGATTGGGGTCCTGTGGTGAGGCAGTTTATCATAGTGTGACCATGTGGCAGAGCAAAACTACTCATCTCATTACCAGGAAGTGAAAGAGAGGACGAGAAAGAGATTGGGAGTCTCACAATCCCCTTCAAGGACTAAAGTGACCGAAAGACCTCACTATCCCCAAATACACAGATGTTTGGGGATACTAAAGATCCAAACTACGGCCCCCCCACCCCCATACACCCACACCTTTTTGCTCTCACTCCTTCATTCCTACAGAGAACTTAGGAAATTGGGAAGGATATCTTCCCTCAGCCAAGGTTACACTGATTGATAGAGTCCAAGTCCTCTTGATCTCTCCAACCTTTGTGCCTTTGGTGCTCTTACCAAGTAAAGCCAGTAGGACTTTTGTTGCTGCCACTGACCCCCAAGGCTCAGCAGCCTCAGTTCAGCATCTCACCATGTACTTTGCAGCAGTCACCCTCAAATGGGATCCTGGGGTCATTTCCACCCTCATGGAGCTTACACATTGGAGAAAAGGACATAGAAAATAAGGATGTCAGATGAAAGCAAAATATATAGTGTATTGGATAATGACAAGTGCCGAGGAGAGAAATGAAGCAGGGAATGCAGAAAACGGGGTGCAAGGAAGGAGCTGCAATTTTAAGCAGACTGGTAGGGAAGACAAGAAGGGCCAGGAGGGCCAAGAACTGAGTCTTGGGACAGTCTCAGTATCACAGGTTGGATAGATGAGTAGGAATCAGGGAAAAAAAGATGAAAGAGCAGCTATTCAGGTAAGAGAAAAACTAAGAGGGCAAACTGTCTGTATGTCCAGGAACAAGCATATTTGCAAGAGGAAAGAATGGCCAACTGAAACCATCAGGGATGTTGTTAAGTCTCTTTTTGGATTTCTCCCCTATCTCACCTACT